ACACCTGTGAACCCACACACGCACACATCGTGACCCCACGCACGCACACCTGTGACCCCCCACACGCACACCTGTGACCCCACACACGCACTCCTGTGACCCCACATACGTACACCTGTGACCCCACACACGTACACCTGTAACCCCACACACGCACACCTGTGGCCCCATATACGCACACATGTGACCCCGCACACGCACACCTGTGACCCCACACACGCACTCCTGTGACCCCACACTCGGCACACCAGATACACTCACCTGACGAGACATTCGGATGGCTGAGAAAGTGCTGGAATATCGTCACCAGGGCCTGGTTGGCGCACATCTTCTCGAACAACACCTCCAGCGACGTCTCGAATATTTCGGCCAGCGTGGTAGCATCCAGCATGGTAAACACGCTGGCAAAGTGCTCGATCAGGTCCTTCTCCTCCTTTGTAGGGGCCGTGACCAAGGCTTTGGCTGTTGCGCCTGTCGTACTGCTCACCCCTGCTTTACCCTGCACCTTCGCCTGTGCCTGCGCCTGTGCCTGTGCCTGAGCGGATCCAATGAGTGGTATAGAGTACACTCTGAAGCAGTCGATGCTGTCGTGTAGTAGCCCCAGGAATATCTGCGCCTCGTCGGCCGTGACGTATCTGGGCGGCTGTACAACGGCGGGGGTTCCATGCATGATCACCTCTGCACTCAGCCGGTTGGGCCCACTCGCTGCCCCTACACCCATAGCAGAAAGGGCCGCACTAGAAAGGGTGGAGCTTGTCCCGTTGTTGGCAGGGCTGATGGTGTTGGTGCTCTGTGGTGTGGCGGGCGTGGTTTGACCCGATGGGTAGGAGGTTGTGGAAGTGTTTGGGTGCTGTGTCGGTGAGTTCCCGGCTGCTAATTGTTTGTGGTGTGCACCCGTTCCCATAAGAAGAGGGCTTGCGCCTGCACCTGCACCCAGCAATAGAGGACTGGCGCCCGTTGTGCCCGACAGTGCGGTGGACGCGGCTCCGTTTGTCGCCATTGCGGGTATAGTGGGACTTGTAGTTGCTGGAGGGGCAAATGTAATCCGACCGAATTAGCAATACAAATCGAATCCGTTAAATTGGATTTTGAATATACATGCACATCTTGGTATCGAATGAAGGTATTGGATTCACATTCGCACAAGAAGATCCGTACTTATTGAACGGGACAGTTATTTCGTACATGATGCATGTAAGGACAAATGTGTACACCATTGCATTTGTACACAAAACACACAAACAAATCCAGGATGCATAATATACTTGACTACGTAGTTCGCATCCGTGCATGTATCTATACAAACGCATACACATCCATGTGCATCTATGTTCGTTGACGCGTGAAGAACAGTACATACCTGAATAATACATATACAAGTATATAAGCATATCAACGCCTACACAACACAACCGCGAAATATGCATACGCGCACACACGCACACACAATATAACGACAGAGCATACATACGCACACACACACACGCACACACGAACACAAGCACAAGCGCGTGAGATTGCATACCTGCGTATTGACCAGTGGTGGTGGCTGCCGCGGTCATGGCGGCCGTAGTACTCGCGGCCACATTCATGCGCTGCAGGGCTTGTGCCTGCACCTGTTGTAAGTGAACAATCTGCTGCTTCTGCTGGGCGATGTTCATGGGCCTGTGTGCTCTGGCAGGCATGCCAATCCCTGTGCGCAGGTGAAGACACGAACAAGTGGGTGGGTGCGAAGAGACGGACATCCATCATGTCCACACAGAGAACTATATAGTCAGATACCCGGTATGCACACAGCCGTCGCCGACAATCGGTACATACAAGCATTGTAATTGAATTTGTGGATAACATTACAGACTGCTTGTGACGGCTTACGACAGCAAAACTTTGTATTTGTACTGTGCACAACGCTTGGTCTATCGGCCTGTCCCTCTCGCCACCAGCAGTGACACCAGCCGATAGAGGCGATAGTTTCAGATGAAGGGAGACGCGCTGTGTACACCCAGGCGGAATACCACACAGGGCATACTCGATATATATATATATATGTATATAAAGACATTACGGTGCACCGCAGCACACACTCTCCCGCTTAGCTTATACTGCACGCACACCCATACATACCTGCACCCACAACTCCGTTTGAAGGCTGGGTATTGTCCTTATTCTTGACACACTGATTCATGCCCCACACTATAGTCTTCAGACCCAAAATCAGGGTTTTCACCAGCAGCCGACAATCCTTCACATGGTCTTGGCTCTGGCTGTGGTCTCCCGAGGTAGTTGACACGGTCTGAATTGGTGCCAAGTACGAATAGGCAGCCACTTCCGCATCCTAAGAACCCAACAGAAACAAATAAACCACTAAGAGCGAGAAGAACGGAATCAATTCAGGCGCGTTCTCGGAACAGGCACGGCCTCGTTCACGGTATAAAGTGCACCTATATAAACCTGACCTTGTAAAAAACCATAGGGACATACCTTGTCCTTTTTCAGGTCGCCCTTGTCGGATTGGGGACCAGCGTCCGTCGCTTCCGCCTCTGTTTTCGCATCCGCATGCAACTCCGCATCTCTTTTTGAAGTACCGGGATTGAATACCTTGGTAGGGCTTTTCGGCCTCGGTCTCTGCAGCCTGGGCACACACAGGCGTACGGCCTTGAATTTAGCGGCAAAGTTCTCGAGAATCTCAATCAACAGGCCCCGCCCGTCGTTAGTAGCGTCGTCCTTCTTGACTATGCTCTCGATGAGATTCAGCAGCAGCTTGCACGACATGGTTTGTATGCTCAGTGGCAGGCTTTCATCGTGTATATTGCGCGAGTACACCTTCACCGTGCGCACTAGCTGGTTGAACGGCAGTTGCTGGCGAACGTGGTGTACGAGATCGGCCAGTGTGCTATACGCCAGCGGCCGCAGTGTCTCGTTGGAGGTGCGACCAGGACCTGAATACACAGCACAGATCCGAATCAGGAAGGAATGTCAGGAATTGGATGGTGTAGAGAAGCCGCAATGATAAGGAGCAAGAACGAATGTTTGGCCGTCGTCCGTGTTTGTTTGATAGGAATACTAGTACGCTCTCACATACCACGGACACGGGTATCGGACACATTGGTTGCGCTAAAGACATACGAGAAGACTATCGCCGCCATAACGGAACTCGACAACACCACGCGAACGAACAAACCACAAATGCTCGACTCGTTCATTCATCAGCCATTGTCTTCGGATATCCGACCTCGACAGTGCCAATAACATACAACACGTAGAAGGAAAGTACGGACATGCATGCGGCCTACCTATAAGCACATCCTCTTTGAGAAGCGTCTCGATCTGCGGCACAAACGAAGTGCGGAAGTCTGTGGCTAAGATGTGGCGAGTGGCAATGAGCAGTTCCTTCCGAATGGCCGCCGAGTCTGTAGGGCATCTCAAAAGCAGCTCAATTACACTCGGGGGGATCACATCGCGGTAGGGGGTGATTACCTCTTGGAAACGGGTCAATACATAGGCCAAGAAAGAGAGTGTCTTGACCTGACACGCTACGAAGTCAGAGAAGGCCTGGGTTGCAACGAAATAAAGTCAGTATCAAGAAAGAATGTAGTTGACATGCGATTGGACAAAGGTTTGCAGCCACGAGGACAGGCATCGTGCAATATATATGGAGCAGCGCATTCCTCGACACAGTTGGATTGGATCATAACTTATGTGTTTGTTGTATTGTGCTGTATTCTGAGCTATGGATGGGGCCTATATAATGCTGCATTGCCTGGTATTTGATACTCAATTGTATATCCAGTAGTATTTCATCACGGTGCACTGTTGCTGTACTCTAGGAATGCAACGTAGCCTATACCTACATGCCGTAGTATGTTGTGTCCTGTAGTGTAGGGTGGTGTTACGTCGGGACGAGTAGTACTCTGTTTCTGTGTTTGCGCTGGCGTTTTTGAGGCGATGATGCAGTACAACCAGGAACTAGCCGATTGGTAACTAGTAACCAATATATGTGACAGAGATTTGCCTCGGATTGTGCTTCTCGGTCAACACTCCTTTGCTACGTAACAGCTCCGCGATTACATGCTCATATTCGCAACCCAATTACAAACTGCTATTAAATAAACTACAATACCAACCGACAAAGAGCACTAACAAGCAGGCTTAACTTCCCCGACTGGCCGGAATCTCTGTATGTCTATACTCACCTGTCTGCTGAGGGTGGCTGCATTTGGCTTTAGTTCCAACGTCTGTATGATCAGAGGCACGAACGAGGGGATGCGCTCCTGTACGGTTGTCTTGTACAGCTGCAGCAGAATCACAACTATGATGGGGCACTCTGTCAGTACCTACATGATGAAGTTTTCAAAATACGCATTAGTTTCAATATGTGCGGTTTTTATTAAATCGACGATGATGTTATACTCCCAACAGTTTGGTTTCAAAATGAACATCACAATCCCAACTGATGATTAATTGGCCACAGATATTGCGCAAGCTGTACCCTCCAACCCATTGCGTATAGATGGGCCCTGTTCGCAATTGGCGAAAGTTTCTTACACATGTATGTGCGGCAACATAACAGTCCCGTTTCAAAATGTATGCTTCCGAACGTCTAGCATAGTGCACGATACGCTTGCATACCCCCACACATACTGCTTGGGAACGAAGCTAACCGCACATACGGCGTACCCAATCACAACCACAACCACACCAAGAAGCTTCAAATGGCTCCGTTCACCTCATACAAGCTCGACTTCAGAGTCACAAAGTCTGTCTATGGCAACATTGCTGCTTCTAGCCCATCATTGTGAGTGTGTGTTATCTTGCTCGACTCAATACTAGGCACCCTGCTGTACTAACACGAGCGTGTGTTACCTTGAACGAGCTGATACTAGGCACAATGGCCAGATACTCGCCAGCTCCCCCATCGTCCTTGGCTTGGTGCTGATCCTGTAGCAGAGTGTTGGGCAAGCTCTGGTACAGACGGTAGACTATATCCAGGAACTCTCGCACAAACGCCTGGTTGTTGTTGTACTGTGGCGACCGGTACTGTTTGTTCAGATCTGGAGCGCAAGGAAACCATAGGTGTGGTTAATATATGTTGGCTGAAGGCTATGAAGTCTGTCGGGTCTACTATGGTCGGGTGGTTAATCGCCTGTGATTAGGTCTGCGCGATACAGTGCACTGAACTCAAACAACCGCAGCAGAATAAAATCTTCCACACTAATAGCCCGCACTTGCTTGAAAGCGAGCACACGTATCAGAATGCATGAACCTGTTCTAAGATACGAAAGACAGCCAAAATGAAGCGTAGACGTTCAAATTCAATGCACTAAACTAGAAATATGAAACACCAGAGCGAAACATGCAACTAAAAATTGGTTGTGAGCTGTAAGCAACTTGTACAATTCGAATGATTCGCCACGACCAACTCCTTGCATTCATCCCTAAATATACAATGCCCCATCTCACTTACAACGTATATAACTGCTACATCGAAAATCAATACACTTCTTTGCTTTCATTGGCCTCACAGCACAAAATAGCGCGAGGCACAATACCTCTTGCTTAACGCACTGTTGTTGACATATCGAGCACCTACACAATGATGACTATATAGTACACACAAGATGCTTACCAACAATGATCCGGAGACAAACAAGTGCATTCTCTTCGTTCTCAACCTTTAGCAAACCCAGAGTGACCTTCTGTAGCATGGGCACATACTCGCCCAACGCATCGCCGCAGGGCAACCGATTGACTATCTCAAGCAAGATGGACCGCACTTTCTGTGAGTGTTCAATTGTTGACAAAAAAATACGGATAGGATGAAATAACAAGAAAAAAACAGAACCCAGTGTAGGATGCAATCAAAAATGCAGATATATCATCTGATTAAACAGAAGAACACACACAGACAAAGCATCATACACCTTATAACGTAAAGCAGCGATATGTAGGTAGGTCTGCATATG